CGAACCTGAATTTGGTTCCAAATCTAGAATTGGCCTAGGATGGATATAGAATCCTATTCTTAAGTTGAAAAGGCTGGTTCTACCTAAGAACCATTTCATCACATGATAATCACTCCAGTGAAAGGATGGGAAAAATATCAAAAAAGTCCCAGACTTATTGCCCTTTTGCTAATTCAGTCATAAATCTTTTAAGTTTGTCAATTCAATCCTAAACCTTTTCACTTCTTGCAAATTCAGTCCATTTGGCCGGCCGGCGCTGACGTGGCTACCGGCCGTCCGGCCAACGCTGATGTGGCAATTTTTAAATATTTTTTTTCGAATTTTTAATTTTTTTCTTTTTTTTTCTTTTTTTATTCTGCCTTTCTCTCTAGCCGGTCCGGCGACTGGCGACCGGCGAGGTCAACCTCGCCGGCCTCTGGCGAAACTCGCCCCTGTCGACCACTGGCGAGGGCGAGCCTCGCCCGCCGCTGCGAGATTGGCCTCGCCTTGGCTGGGCGAGGCCCCACCTTGCCGGATCTGGGCGAGGTCAAGCCTCGACCAGCCATGGCGAGGCCGACCTCGCCGCCGCTGGGTGAGTGAAACCCAGCAACGGCGAGGTCAGCCTCGCCATGGTTGGTCGAGGCTAGCCTCGCCATGGCTGGGCGAGGCTTGCCCTCGCTAATGGCTGACGGGGGCAAGCTTCACCAAAGGCTGGCGAGGTCGACCTCGCCTGTCTGGTCGGTCGCCGGACCGGCCAGAGGGAAAAGGCAAAAAAAAAAGAAAAATATATTTAAAAATTCGAAAAAAAATATTTAAAAATTGTCACATCAACATTGGCCGGACGGTCGGCGGCCACGTCAATGCCGGCCGGCGGCAACGTTAGCACTGGCCGGCCAAATGGACTCAATTGGCAAGAAGTGAAATGGTTTCGGACTGAATTGGCAAGAAGTGAAAATGTTTAGGAAAAAATTGGCAAACTTAAAAGGTTTAGGACTGAATTGGCAAAAGTACAATAGGTTTATAACCTTTTTTACAATTTTCCCATGAAAGGATGCATTGTACTAATGAGAAAAATCCGTACGATAGGATTACTTTTCCTATCTAATTGCTTCTTTGGAAACATTTGCTTTTTTATAGTTTCATGATGATCTCTATATCTATTACTCAAAGCCATTCTAGCTATTCTCGGCTTTGGGATATCTGCATTGAAAGTCATAAAATTTATCACAAAGCGCAATTGAGTTCCAAAATTTTTAAAAAGTGCAATTGAGTCATAAAACTTGTCGAATTGGTGCAATTAACTAACGTGATTGGTGCGTATGTCTTCTCTTCTTCAAGACCGAATGCTCTGTGGATGCCCCCGAATTCACCGGTTATAATATTTTTTTCAGAAGCCACTCACGGCACATACACTTTCTGCCCAATTGAATACCTCACTCTTCTTTTTAGAGTGAATGAAGATGTATGTTGCTGAAGCGATATGGCTGAGTGTCTGCAACGAAAGATAAAAGCGTTGGATGATGGCTGAGACCTCAAGTGAAGGGCCACCAAAGCGGCGACGCCGATTGATGATGCCACGGGCGCGCGAGCCAATGGAGGACTTGTGGTGGATGAGATGAACGACCACGTCGGGGCAACGTCGCGGATCGAGAGGAGGATATGGTGGTGGCTTGGCTTAAGGACTAGTGGTGGGCGGCGGAGTGCGGAGGAGAGCAACCGCGGATGAAGATGATTGCTCTTGAAATGATGCTACGGACGTTAGATGGTGATCACAACTTTCCGTTCAAACCTCTTAACAACCAGGATATTCTCGATTTGCCGATCGCAATTGCCTTTCTTTTTCCTTTTGAATTATTAACCGAAATTAAGAGCACATGAATGGCTAGATATTTATGGGAGATGATCCTACATACACTTGTCAGTGTATCATTCTGTGGCAGCATCACAGGGAAGTCATGCGATATTTTTACTTTTTAAGGGGTCGGGTCGACTCCTACTTTTGTTATGGAATATGATTAACTAAATAGGTTGCCAAAATTTAGGTGTCGACAATCTAACGACATGATTGATATCTAGATTTTCTCTTTTGCTCAATGTTCTTATTAGATAAATATAATTTCTTGGGGTTAGCCGAAAACAAATTAACACCTCGCCTGATTTCATCTCATTGAAGGTAATCAGTAACACTTGCGATTCCCAAACTACATTTTTCAGATACATGTTTTTGTATGCATGCATGATTCTCCGATATTGTCGCATGTCAAATGTAGCCACGCACCGCACCCGAGGTTGACTGTGTTACCTCCGAGACCTGCGTGAGACTTAGGATTAGATGGAGAGGACCTAAGCCAAAGGAAGGTGGTTTAGGTGTGTCCTTGAACGAGGTCCGACCATCTAGAAGCATGTACGATTGGACTTGAAGTGTCTTGATGGAGTCAAATATGATCCCATTTCGTTACAACCGAAGCACGACCTTCACACGAAGCTATCGATGCTATAACCTAACGACAAGGTAATGAATTTCTGTCGAGATTTCAAAAGAATGACTAGGTTAATGAAAATCGTGAGATTATGAAACTATTGTTGGCCACTGTGCATTGTAGACAAGTGAAATATGAAATGAGATGCCCTGGTCAAGATGTGGATGGTTAGTGGTCAGGACCAGAGTAATGAACTTTATTTGGTGCGTGGAAAGTAACCCAAGATATCACTAGACCGCCACACCTAAAAATTAAAAGGAAAATCATTAAATAACGGGAAATATCCAAAGGAACACCATCTCTTGTCATGTCTCAATCGATACTTATATATTGAATGAGATTCTTGTCATTTGTTAGCGTATTATCAAGATATATGTTGGATGACCCAAGACGATGTTTTCTCCAACATTAAATTTGGTGCAACCCAATTGAAGGAAATGAATCAATAATTCAACACGTAACTTTAACCATGCCTTGCAGTTACGTTTCGGAGAGTAATTAGAACCAGTCTAATCATGAATCACGATGCAAAATGTGACTTTGTTTACTTTTTGTGGCCAGAGTGCAAATTGCAATATTTGGTTGGCATACAACTACGTAGGAAAACTTCATTTCCTTAATCAAGGTAAATCCACCGGAAAGCCACTAAATTAATGGAAATCATAAATAATTTAGCTTAAAGTCTTTCTCTTCCCCCAAAGTAATTACCTTAAATACCAAACAAAGTTTGACGCTGATTATGTTCATTCCATAATAATTCGTATCCCAATTCCTACACTAAACTACCAACCAATGGCTTATAACCTGATGCGGTCCTAGGAGTAGACAAGATTCGCGTCAGGTGTTTTAACCCGCGGTGTCTTGTAATAAGTTATGTGGTCCTCAATGCTAATTGGACCATCCGATCATCCTATTCACCTATCGGAAGCACTGAGATCCTCTATTCCAGCATTTCCAACCAATGAATCACTCTTATCTTTTCATTGCTTGATTTGCTTCTACATATCATTGCGTGTATCAGTGAAAGCGGTGCGCAAAGTAAATTCTGCAAAAGGAAGCAAGACCAAACCTTTCACGCTGAGATGCAATGTGGATTTTAAGTTTGGGCAAGTTTCTATGTTTTAGGCCGAGATTCACTCTAGTAAGTCTTGCACCACTAGGCCGGGAATCGACCCATCCGGAAACTGAATACCCCTAGTTCAAATCGAAACATTGGCCGAAAGCAAACACGCTGATGATCTACACTCCAACAAGTGAGCTGCGTATAAAAGAAAGTAGCTAGTGAACTTGGAGGTGTGGTCCTAGTTTGGGTTTCAAACACAAAAGAACTCGGTATAAACCGACCCATATATATATGACATGGATCTAATAAAGAAAGCATTTATGAATGAAACGTTTCATTAAGAAAATGATGGTCATTCATGAGGTTAATTGCTTCTCCTCAGCAACTAATATTTACAATACGGCTAATTTTCAACTACATAAAGCATAATCTCTACAGTTAATTTTCATCGACAAGAGAATTTCCCATACGGATGATTGCAACAATTGTTGAAGGGCAGCTCAAGACAAGATACAAAGCTGAAACCGAAATATGTAAGCTAGAAAATTATTTTTATAATCCGGAGATCATTGCCAACTTGTCTAAAATGTGAACTATTCGATGTACGCATGCTTTAATGTTAAGTGTTATGATAGATAAGTAGCGCGGACATCATTGTTTGAGAAGTTTATACATCAAACCCATTTGGATTTTTCTACTTTTCATCTTGATGATGACGGAAGGAGAATTAGGTACAATCAGACATTTGTACATGTGAATTATTCCCAGGGGCCCAAACAATCATAATATCAGGGATAATTAGGCATTATTTCACAATAGCTCCCAAATTTGACATCACTAGCCTGAATTCCGACACCGTTGCACGATAGACCCCTAACTCTAAAAAGTTACAAGTTAATTCTTCAACTTTGACTTTTGTCGCAATGGCTAATTTTTCTAGTCTACATAACCGTTAAGTGTTATTTGAGAATGGATTAAATTAATTTTCTTGACGAACTTAGCTGAATTATCGTTATCTTCATTAGTCATAAATCCTTTCTATTTTTTTAACTTCATTCACCATGTAGTAGAGATTATTCTAGTCAAGAAAAATGAGCAAGTCCCCTTTTAGGGAACGTTTAATCTGCTATGCAGAGGAAAAAGAATAGGGACAATAACAAAAACCAACGCTCAAGAGGACAATATGTAACTTCTCAAAATTTGGTTCTAGTATGCAACCTCGTCAAAGTTCGGAAAAGTAATTTACGACTAATATGTCCAATACGGCTTATTTCCAACAACACAAAGCATTCTTCTACGGTTAATTTTCAATTACATGAGCATTCTCGCTTATTCAGTGCATGTGTATTGTTCGATTATCGTAGTTGCTATGGAAATATTACCGACAGTCAATGAAATTCATGACTATGCTAAATTGATACATATAAACGACATTGACATGAAAAGTAGAAATATAAGAAAGAGAGAAACATATTCAATTGAGAAGAGTAGGCCGACACTACAGTAAAATTGCCGGGGGCGTAATGTAATCAATCCTACTAAACACAACAAATGACAACACTCAATCATCTGATCCAAACTAACACTGTATTATTTGGAGATTCTTACATTTTTTGCTTCAAGCAGTGATTGACATATAGGTTAATTAGGTTAGAGGGAAGGGGAGGCAACTTTTTGAGAATGTCGCAGTGTAGCAAATCAAGAGTCTGAAGACTTGACATGAACTGGATTTCTGGTGGAAGGCTGGATATACGAGTACCTCTAAGCCTCAATTCTCTGAGATGACATAGTTCCGAAATATTACTGGGAATGACACCCTCCAAACTCCTACACCAGGAGGCATGTACTTCTTCCAGGTAAAACAACTTTGCAATGTCACAAGGAAATTCTCTTACGAAACAAGAATCCATTTTCAGCACTGTCAAATTCCTTAGATTTTTAGTTGAATCGGGCAATTTCGAAATACCTGTACCCGAAATATCCAATTCTACTAATGAGAATCTCAATTTGCCAATGGATTCCGGAAGCTTTCCTAGCCCACGACAATCCCTCAAAGACAAGCGTCTAAGTTGCCACAGGTTTCCAAGTGACTCGGGTAGTTCAAGAATTTTCGCATCATCCAAGGCTAGCACTGAAAGAGATAATGTCTGGTCACAAATTGAACCAGGAACATGAACCAATGAGGAGCAATTAGTGGCACCAAGAATTTGCAATTGAACCAACTTGCCTATCGACGCAGGAAGTTGTCGAATGGAAGTGCCATCAATCAGGAGCTCTTTCAAAGCATTCATCCCATCCATTTCCACTGGCAACATGCTAAGTTCGGAGCAAAACTTCAAATTCAGGGTAACCAAGCGCTTCAGATCATTAATTGAAGGATCTAAATGAACCAAGCGAGAACATTTCTCAAGAATCAGTCTCTCCAAATTTGGGCAACAGGAGAAGCTGGGGGTAACTAATAAGTCTGCACTACCTGTAAGATTTAAGACTTTCAAACGCTCCATCTGCAAAACAAGGGAAAAAATTCAGATGGCGTAGAACTCTCAATCTACTTAAGGGCTAACACAAACACAACAGCAAATGAGCTATAAACCCACCTTAATTCTTTTCCAACCTCTCCAGGATCCTGTAACCTTACTCCACGAAAGATCAAGAATAACTAGGTTCTCATTTTTCTCTAAATGAATGCGGATTGCATCTTGAGGGCACGTTGGCCAATGAAGCCACCGTACGTTCAATAAGGTATCTGCAAATTGTCCACCAATATTGGCGCGCCCCAAGCTGAGAAATGTCGTGTTCGACGGGATCTCAAAGCCTGCCTCTTCAGTGTTAAGATGGTCCGTTCCCTGTATGATGGACCACAAAAGTCAAGTAAAGAAACAAGTGGAAGTATTCAGACAATAAAATAATTACCATGGATGTCTAAACTCCCATGAGGTAAAGAAACAAATTAAGGCCTAAATGCTGCTTTTTTTCCATCGACATACCTTTTTCCCCTTGTTCGTGTCCTGGGCTATGGCAGGTAAGTGCAATCCAACAACTGTTCCTGGATCATGGAAACCTTTGCGGATGATCTCCCTGGCAAGGCACCTTAGCATGCTGTGCATGCCTATTCTATTTTCTTCCATTTTTATTAGGGACATACGACGAAGGACCCTGATTTCTTTATTAGGACCATAATAACCATGCGTCATATATGAGGCAATCCTATAATCCACATCTGGGGGAAAACATGCAATATCAAGATACATCTGCTTTTGCTTTTGATCTAATGCTTCATAAATTATGCTCAGAATCTTCTGGTAATCTTCCTGACATTTTTGTATGAGATCTTCGAATTTAATCCATTCTTCTAGTCCTTTATCGTGCAAAAAAGAACCAAACACTTTGAGAAGTAGTGGAAGTCCCTTCGCAGCCTTCACTATTTGGATTGCAATTTTAACATAAGAACGTAGTTCATCACTCTTTCCTATTGCAGCACACTGCCACAAAAAGTTGAAAGCTAGATTATCATCCATCGGATTAACATTGTAAGTATGAGCCAACCCTCGAGCAACAAACCCTTGAAGAACGCTTCTTTTTTTTGAGGTGACAATTATTCTGCTTCCAGAACCAAACCAATCAAGCTCAGCTCCTACAAACATCTTGAGACGGGACCTACTTTTCACATCATCAAGAACAATGAGAACTTTCATATTCCTAAATATTTCTTTCAAAAATCGTACTCCTTTGAAAGAAGAAATAACCTCATACTCCCTTTTCAACATATCAAAAATCAACTTGGTTTGAAGATACAGAACAGCACCAGGTTGCTGCGTCGTTTCTTCAATCTCTGCAAGAAAACTGCAAGCATCAAAGCGCTGGGATATTTGGTCATATACGATTTTGGCGAGAGCAGTCTTTCCAATGCCATCTCTCCCATGGATTCCAACAATTCGTACGTCATTTACTTCCAGTTCCAATAATCTCATTATTTCCGATTTTTGACTGTCTTGAAGCTCCTGTAAAGGTACTTAAGTTTAGGAAAATGTTAGTTAGAAGAGAAGTGAAGGAATATGCAGAGGTGCTGTAAGTTCCAGATGATATTGCCATTCTCCGAAACATGTGCTTTGAATGTGCCTGCCAATCTATCATATGCCTTGCTAGTTGAGATGTTGTAACTAATGTTTAGCTGACAGAGTAGATAGGTTGTTGAAGATAACCTCCACTGAAGTTCCTCCAACACAATCATTCACTCCATGCATCTCATTTAAGCTAAAGATATGATAGTCAACCTGCTGTCTCTATTACGGAAAAATCTAATAAGAAAATCTAGCTTTTATCCATCAAAAAGCCTATTCTGACTAATATACCCTCCAGCCTTATTAGGGGCCATCTCCGAGTCGCCGTAGTGATAAATTCAGTAGCAGTTTACCTTTGAGACCTCACTTAGACGTTTAAGATCTATAATGACTAAAATTTAATGCCACAGAAAGAGTGTTGGTGTTTGCGGAAGCGTGAGTTAATTTTTGGTGAGTGTGTGCAAGTGGTTGTGCGTGAGTTCTTCACGCAACATTCAGGCAAATAGACAAAGGTTGACAGGAATTGGCAAGGGAATAAAGGCACAAAGGAAATGTTTATTAAATAGTTTGAGTATTACAAGAGGAGGATGTGTGTGCGTGTGATAGTTATTAATTGTTATTTCCCAAGCTGATCATCCTTGCCCATTTATAGGCAAATTTCACCGACTATGGAGCCAACAATTTTAGACTTTTTACAGAATTTTTTTCCTACAATTTTTGACTTCAACAGCCGACTCTTCAAGATTTTTTTTCTGCAAATATTGACAATTTAGCCACCGCCTAAGACTTTTGCAGCTAGCTTTTCTTGCTTCCTACGTTGGACATAATTTGAACAATCCCACCTCACACTGCTTCCCCTGTTAAAATGCTGATGCAATTTCTAGAGTCTTCTAAGATAGACATGTGCTAGAAAAGTCCAGAAAAATCCTACAAAAAATTCTAATCCTTGGGCGGCAGTGCATGTGTCTGGAGTCCACTAAAGCTTGTGTAGAAGAATCCATAAAGAATATCTCTGCAACATGGACGAGATATTTGCCTTGCAAGTCGGTTTACAAAGCTCTGACTTGAGCCGACATTTTCTAGCGTTTAAGTCGGTTGTAAGCCTATAAAAAGGCTTGGGTGGTTCAAGACATATATTCTTTGAAGACCAACCAACTAAGCTCTCCTCCTTCCTTTTACAGTAACAAGCAAATAATAAAAGCTTCTTTTTCCCTTGTTCCAATGTGCTCCTTTGCCGTGAAAGTCCACTCTCATACACACATCTCTTGTTGTTTCTTTGCCAAGTACAACACACACTTGCACACTTGTACATCAATGCCAAAAATTAACAGTAGTATCAAAGCCCCGTTCGGTAGGTATTGGGCATTTATCCTAACCACCCTCTACTAAAGTCTCTCACCTAATTCTCCAATACCAAAACTATGGCCAATTCTACCTCACCACCCATTCCTAGTTTCGACGGAAATAACTATGACTATTGGAGGTTTAAAATTACTATTTTCCTAATGGCTCAAGATTTATGGGACATCATGGAGAAAATCTCTGACTTGGCAGTCCAATCATTACTAGCCGTCCTATATGGAATATGGCCTTAATAGGAAGGGCTACAATGAAATTTCGCACAAAGGTTTAGGATTAAATTGGCAAAATTGAAAAGTTTATGATTGAATTAACACTGTAGAATATGTTTAGAACCAATTGGATAATTTTTCCCTTTCAAAAGTGCTCTCGAAACACTTGTTATGCACACAAATTAGGATATTAAAATTTTCAATATTGATAGTCTTTTGATATGCACAATCAATGCTCAACAAATTCTTTGGGACAAGATCCATAAAAATTACATACGGGATCTATTTGTTGAGGATTGAGAGTTGAGAGACACCACAAAACCCTAATTGTCTTATTTAACACTCACCTAATATCGCTAATTATCCTTCAAAACTCCCCCTCTAGAAGTATATTGTATTATCGCGGTCAATTTGAGAGAAGGATTTCGGCCCAAAAATAAGAAGAGGGAAATATTTTCAATTCCCTCTTCTTTAAAGAATAGTGTAGTAACATTTTCGTGTGGTAGTCTAAAACAACAGTGGCTATACATCCAACTAGTCTACTCGAATCGACAAGCAAACCGATACGATCTTTGATGAAATAAACAAACGATAATTATGAAATGTAAAGTTGCCCCTCATTTGTTTGCGGATTCTATTCTCGCAAGAGTATATGCAAGCTACTTCAGAGTTCGGACGATGACTTGCATTCTCTTGGAGTTTCAGTTCATGTGTTTGCGTTCTTTTTTCCCATTATATTCTAACTTTACAACAACTGTATAATCATGCCAAAGTATTTCGTGGTGATTAGAATTCTTATCTATTTGATGTAAAACACACTTTAGCTGAACCTAACTTCATCAACAGTTACAATCTTCAGGAGAGAGTGCTCGAGAAGAGAGGAGAATAGGAGCCAAGAAACATACCGAGGTCATGGATGATAACACGGGATCTGCACCAGTGAATAGATCTTCAAACACATGCTTGTGCTCTATCTTCAGCTTAAGCGAAATTTCTCTAACAATAATATTGATAAGTCCTTCTTGACCGACACTGCAGAAAAAATCCCAGCTCCAAACCATTAACAGAATCGATCCGAGGAACTACCACCCCACACACTACACAATGAAAGGATGATTTGGATGCTATAAAAGATCACTGATATTTAACTGCAGAACAAAAAATACCTAAAGCAAAGATCTGTTCAACATGCCACACTGATGTTTAGCAATTGTATGATCGTGTAATAATGCCACTGCAGCAAGAAGTTAGTCCGACGGATGGATTATATTGCCACCGTTCACCATTGGGGTAAAAATATCACTCAACCAGGGGTTGAACTAAAGAATGACGCGATCATGGGGATGAATAGAATGCATTTTTAAAGATAGCTCACTGAGCCAAACAGAGAAATGTTGCATAATCGTGGTCAATTTGAGAGAAGGATTTTGGCCCAAAAAAGAAGAAGAGGGAATTGAAAATATTAACCGCAGTTAATTCCCATCAATAGTTTTCCTCTTTGAAACATGCATAAACCCAAGCAAGTGAACAAAACAATTAGAGTAAAGTAGAGTCGACCGCTATTTGCATTTTCTGCTGAAAAACGTTTGTTGAGTTTCCTTTTTTCTGACATTCTCGACAATACCTTGGTCGATTGAGCCAACAAATGAGAAGAAACCTACAAGAGAAGAAGACAGATGTAACATACCCTTTATATGAGCTTAGATCCCATCCCTCGACTTTACCAGCCTCCCCGAGAGCCTTCTTCCACTGCTCGACTTTCTCATCGCCCCACTTCCGCCTCTGTTTGTTCAGGTCTTTTGTGTCGAGTGATTTTTTTTCCAGCAAATTCCGGTCCACATCGTAGAATACGGGCAGGATCTCCTTCTTCCCACCTGATGTAGACGTGTGCTCCACCATGAGTGCAAGCGCATCAAGGCACCAAGAGCTACCGGCATAGTTTCTGGAAAAGATAGGTACGCAGATCTTGGAGCTGTAGACCGATGACCGAAGCTCTTCGGTTGGAGTGCGAAGGGTTCCGTCATATCTGAAAACGCGAATTCTGTCAGCTACCAAGCAGTCATAGAGGCGATTGGCGATATCAGAGCCAACATCGGTTCCTGTGAAACTCAGGACCACATCATATACTGATTTAACCTCTGACTTCATCATATCCTGATTTAGTTCATCTTCAACTCTTTCCCCTTTTGTGCTAGCGTATTCAGCCGTACTTGAGTCAGCCAATAACTTTACCATATCTTGATTCAGCCTCGCTGGTCCATCTTCACCACTTTGCCAATTTCTTTGATCCAGCCTCGCCGGTTCATCTTCGCTCTTTTTTCGATTTGTGCCAGATGATATGTCCTCAATTGCCATAACTCGTGACCGTGGCCGTGGCCGTGGCCATGATCGTGGACGTGGTTTTGGTCCATCTTCGCCTTTCTTCCCTCCTCTGCTTGCGGATTCAGCCATGATTGATTCCGCCTTCACCTCCATCTGTCGTCGTCCAGTTCCAACTTTAAACGATAGTCACGTCAAATGGTCCGGGTTAATCAGTCAATGTCGGCCGTTAACGTAAGAGAAAACAACACCCAAAAGAAATAATTATTTACGAGAATTCGAGAAGAATTACTCACTCTCCACTTTATTCTCAATCTTACCGTGAGGAATTCTACCAAAAATAAATAAATCTTACCGTGAGGAAATTTACTATACATGAAAATAATTCTCATCGATAGATTCTTAATTTATGATGATTGATGTGAGTTACTAAAAATATGGAAAAAAGTAATTTACAATTTGTTCAAGATATTTCATGGATAGGTACAAACGTTGGAATTCAGCCTTTCGAGACTTTCGGATAAATCACTACATTTGAAAGATGATTACTAAATTGCCATTTACAATGAATTACGGCAAGATTACAAGTATGGAGGAAAACTATTAAGTATAGATATTGTCGCTTGGGACAATTTACAGTGTTTTACTATTCTACCGGTTCCTCACTAAATGTTCCAATTTTCAAGTTACAAAATATATAGCAAAATTATAGGCCTTAAAGGTAAATTGCTAATTATATGTGAAAATGAGTTACGATGACTGTAGATACATAAGGACTCACAATATTAAAATTACTATATATAGGCACGACAAATGTTACGATAATTTCAAGCAAATTATGACAAATTTCAAAAGTTGGCGGACTTATCCGCCAGGTTGTCCCTTTTTTTGTTTTTTTCCGGGGGCTGCGTCCCTAGATTTCTTGTAAATTATTGCTTGAAAACGACCTCATTTGCTCATGATTGCCCATTAATTAAGCCAGGATAGATTCTATCAAAAGCAAACTAACAAGGATTGACAATTTCATAATGTTCATGAGTTGTGCGACATTAGAATTGATACAAAATGATAATTGCCGAAGAAAAAGTCTATGTCAGAAAACGGGCAAATTGTTTTATGAATTAATTAATAATGACCATTGGTCATTAAAAAAACACAAAATAATTTTTTTTAAATGAAGTCTACGTTAGAGAGTGGGAAAATAATTATTGCAAATTTTTAAAGCCACTATTTTGTAGCATTATCTCAGGCGGGACACCTTCCAAGGTTGCCGGACTACTTAAAAGACAAAACAAGCCAAGAACATGTTGGTCTAGTGGTTTCTCCGCGGTTCAAGTCCTCTCCGAGGTTTTGAATCATGTTTCTTGGGTTGGTTTCGATTGGACTTATCTTATTAACGTATCGAAAAGATAATTTAAGCCGAAAGCACTAAAATTTGCTCCGATTACTTACGTATCCGCTCGCACTCTTAAGTAGAGGTCGGGATCCCTTCCAAAGTTGGCTACAGTGGCTGCCACTGCCCAGTCATTTTTTTTTTTTTTCCTTTTTCAAAGTTTCGATTTTAAAAACAGATTTGATATTTATTATAAGATGTTTTCATTTTACTTTATTTCTCTTATATTTGGCTTTTCTTGGCGCGTTAATTAACCCTTATTTGGTTTGGTTCGATAATATTTCGTGATATCACAATTCATGAAAAGGAGATATTATGAACGAGCGATCTTACTCCGCACGAAATATGTTAACATAAATGGAATGTTTCTCATGTTTGGTATATGCTTACAAGATATGATTAACTTTTGCCATGAATAATGGGCATTAAAAATTGGACGGCGAGACTAAGGGGGAACATTGGAATTTCCTAAGCCAAGTCAAGATTTCATGGCTTAAGCTTCTTAGACCGGGTTAGGTCTGTGAGCTTGTTCTCTTCCTCGAGCGATCTCCCAGTGGTCCCCCGTCCGACGAAAGACCTGGTCTTCAAAACTTTTCTTTGAGCTTTTCTCGCTCATGGATATCTGCAATGAGCACTCGTCGCTTCCATCTGCTAGATGGCCCAATGTCTGCCGCTTTGAAGTCTTTCTCAGTTTCAGAGGAGAACTTCGGGGGGACTTCGTTGAATTTCTCTACAAAGGCCTCGCTGATTCAGGGATCAATGCATTTATCGATCGCGATGGGATCGAGATCGGAGAAGAGATCATGCTTAAGATCTTACGAGTGATCAGGCACTCGGAGATATGCATTCCCATCTTCTCCAAAGATTTCGCTTCCAGCAAGAGTTGTCTGAAGGAGGTGGCGGAAATGGTGGAGCGCAACAGGATAATCATGCCCATTTTCTACGACGTCAGCCCTTCAGTAGTCGGCAAACAGGAGGAGAGTTATCAGCAGTCCTTTTGCACCCATGCGGCCCTGGGGGAGATGTCAGCGACTATAGACAACTGGAAGAAGGCACTGCACACTGTTTCAGGAATGCGAGGATGGGAATTGGAGAAATTTAATTACGGGTATGTCAAAATCGATTTCGAAGCTTTTTCTACTTTTCCAACAGTAGTGATCTAGTATGAAATTAAAGAAAGGAAAAAGTCAATGCATCTTTTCTTTTGCCTGAGGGTATTATCCGACCAGCTGTTCCTTTTCCCATCTTACTTTTCCTTTCCTTTCCCTTTGGCAGGGAGCATGAACTTATAAACGAGGTTGTTTCCACGGTCGGCCGGCTGTTGAGGAAGGATGACTTAGATGCGACAGTACATTTAGTGGGAATGGATCAACCTGTGCAAGAGGTGATGAAAAAACTGGATGTTCGCTATGAAAATGGAGAAGTAATTGAAGAGCAAACGCTGACGGGAAAACGTGTGGTTGAGATATCGGGCCTTCCAGGAATTGGTAAGTCGACTCTTGCCACGGTTGTCTACAACAAAATCCATCATCTCTTCGAAGGTAAGAGCTTCCTTAAAGAGGTTGAGCAAAAGAGACTCCCGTCTCTCCAAGAAGATTTAGTTAGTGCCCTCCAAAAGAAAAGATGTACACTCAGATCTTCTACTCAAGGTACCGAATTTATCAAGTACAAATTTAGAGATCTGCAAGTTCTCATTATCCTTGATGATGTTAGTGATTTTGAACAAATCAATTCACTAGCCGGAGATCTAAGTTGGTTCGGTCCAGGAAGCAGGATCATCGTGATCTCTACGAGAAACAATCTTGTCGACAAGTATAGTCAGGTGCATGTGACCTCCAGAAGCAGCAGTATTGTTAACGGTTGTGATGACATCCTCGTTGAAAAATACGAGCTAAAGGAAATGAATAATGATCATGCTTTTCAACTATTCTGTAAATATGCTTTTAGAGGAAAACCTCTTCAAGAGGAATTCTCCTCTTTGGCGTGGGACATTAGTTTGGCTGCTGGAGGAATCCCTTTTGTTATTGAGATTGTTGGTTCATTTTTACATGGAAAGATCATAGAGTTTTGGAAGGAGGCATTGGGTAGATTGAACCGAGAGCCTTACAATGAGGAAGTAAAACGAATTCTGAAGAGAAGATATGAAGATTTAGATAGATATGCCCGAGAGATATTTCTCGATATAGCTTGTTTTTTCGTGGAAAAGGACAAGACAATACCCATTTACATGTGGGAAGCTTGCAAATATGATCCTTATAGAGGAATCGACGAGCTTCGTAGCATGTCTTTGGTAAAAACCAGAGAAAATAATGAATTGTGGATGCATAATCAGCTAAAAGTCTTTGGGAGGGAGATTGTCAAGGAAAAAAATCCAAGTGAACCTTTCAAGTGGAGCAGGCTATGGAATCAGGAGGATATTGAACTAGTATTGAATGAAATGAAGGTAAATTTTGAAGACAAGGAAGTCCACGATTGGCAGGTCGCTACGGTTGAAGCCCTCAGTGCCACATTCGACAACCCCCATTCATTCGCTAAACCTAGATTTTTCCGTAAATTCTCAAATCTTAGGTATCTAAAAATGAGCCACGTTATTATTAAAGGAAATAATCAGAGTGCAAAGAACTCCAGAGAGAATCTTTTCCTTCCACGATTAAAGTGGCTTGAATGGCAATGGTGTCACAATATCTCCAGTCTACTTGCTTTAGATCTGTCAGACTTGGTCGTTCTTGATCTGTCGTGGAGTAACTCCACAACTTGGCAGTGCTGGAGACAAATTATGAAGGTATGATGGCATACATGTGTATTTTTTTGCTACATGTTTGACAGGACCTTGAAGTAAACAGGGCTTTTATATTCTCTTGTTTTGCAGAAGGCGGAAAACTTGAAAGTTTTGATCCTAAAACATTGTAGTTGGCTAGCCGAATCTCCAGTTTCCAATGCACCTGTAAGTTTAGAGAGACTAAACCTGGAACATTGTTCTCCATTGCCGGTTGTTGGCAGATCCATTAGAAATCTAAGGAACTTAGTTTCTCTGAATATCAAGTTCTGCAGCCGCGTGCAAGAGTTGCCAGAAGATATAGGTTACTTGGAAGATCTGAAAGAGCTTTACATCGATGGAACTTCCATTAGAGCCATTGATTTCCCCGAGGGTTCGTATGGGAAGCTTGAAATTCTGAGTGCTTGTGACTGTAAATCCTTGTCTCTACCCGATTCCATTGGTAACTTGAAATCTCTTTTGTGCCTAGCTTTGGACGACACTAAACTCAGTGAGCTCCCTGATTCTATTGGCTTGCTGGAGAATCTTCAGAAGCTATCTCTGAGTAACTGTAGGAACTTGTGGAAACTGCCAGGTTCCATCGGAAACCTCAAAGAGCTGCAAGTCATGGATCTTTCAGACACGTTAGTCAAAGAACTACCTCTATCTGTCCAGGATTTGAGAAACTTGAAAGTACTAAGGATGGCTCGCACTTTTATAAGAGAATTTCCTGGAGGCATTAAGGATCTAGAGAGGTTAGAAGAGATAGATTTCTCGGGCTGTAGAAGTTTGGAAGGGAAATGCGAAATCACGGGATTATCGTCTTTACGGGTCTTACTTTTGGAAAAGACGGATATTTCTCAGCTGATTGTGATAGATTTTCAATGCTCTAATCTCCAAAACCTCCGACTGGATGCCGGTGTTCCCATCTCGAAAATTAAAACTACTAAAGGAGAATAGCATTGGTTTAACAGATGTTAGACTAAGACACAGCTATAGCTTGACAGACGTCGCGGACCATGAGCGAGAAAGTCAGCGGTCATGTCAAATTTCTAACTGATCAAGCATGTCAACCGATCGTCCTGCAGTAAGGGCCATTAGAGGCATAATTGAATACGGAGTTTCGCTTCTATTCTGAATTGTCAGTTTACATTCTTCTTTCTTTCTTTCTTTTTGGCCATCAAACTCGCACTTTTTATTGTCTTGTATGTATGTCAATTTCCTGCGCGCGTACATGTTAGTTTGGATTTGACTCGGTGAAAGTATCTCTCAATTTATTTGATTGGTCTACTAGACAACTTCAAGATTGTCGGGATGGGTTTTAAGGTTCCGTTTGTTTCGCGGAAAATGTGACATTTCTGGAAAATATTTTCAGAAAGTCATTTTCCAGAAAAATGACAATATTTCCTGTGGTTGGTCGAGATCTGAAAATAAACTAGAAAATATTTTCCCTCGATAAGGAAAATCTCATTTAGTTGGAAATTTCTAATGTGGAGGCCATCCTACATGGCACGGACACGCTAACGTGAATAATTTTTGTAAATTTTTTTAAAAAATCGATTTTTAAATATTTTTTTCTTTTTTCTTTTCTTTTCTTTTCTTTTTTTTATTTTCTTTCTTTTTCTTTTTCCTTCTTCCGTCACCGGTCGCCAGGCCTCGGCAAGGGATGACTTCGCAGCCTCGGGAAGGTTCGAGCTCGCCGAAGGCTAGCAAGGCTCAAGCTCATCGGCTCGCGCTTGTGGCCGTCGCCGAGGCCTGACAACCGGCGGAGGAAAAAGGAAAAATAAAGAAAATAAAAATATTAAAAATTTTGAAAATAAAATTTGGCCTCAATCAACCCGAGCTCAACCTTGATATTATCAGGCCTGGTGTCCCGGGACGAGCACCGGTGTCCCGGGTCTGGCCTCGATTGACCTGGGAGTGGTGCTGGGATCTCAGGCGCGGCCTAGATGAACCCCAAGCCAGAGCATCAAAGTCCTAGGCCCGACCTCAATGGACCTAGGCCCGAGCACCGAGGACCCGGCCCCGCTAACAAGGGCCCAAGAACAAGCGTTGGGGTTCCCGTGCCCAAGAGGACCTGGCCCCACTGACAAGGGCCCAAGAACGAGCGTTGAGGTTCTTGTCACGCCCCGAACCCTACGGACACGCAACATCCCGTTATGGTCGTTATGATGCGACGACCCAGGACTCGTCGCCGACCCTTTTCTTTTTATCTTTGAATTACAAAAGCGGAAACGATAACCAACACAACAATCCCCAGACAAAAATCAAATCAGGGATAGCAGAGGAAAATCAAACATAACAAAAGCCATTTTTAATATTCACTTGATTAACCCCTGGGAATATACTTATAAGCCCACTCCGAGCGTTTTCACAAAAAGCCAGCAAAAGACAAAGGTTAGGGTCAATCTACTCCACCAACAAGTCGATCCCAAAAAGCTCGCTTCCAGACGCCCTGAACTAAACTGGGTGCATCAACGTTCTAAGGGCCTGAAAAGTGGTTAACAACAACAAATGAGACGAAAGTCTCAATAAGTTAACAGCCTAAGCCCCGCTTAGGAGGCCAACTCGCACGGGGGGTCCCTAACCAGTCAATACAGCATCAATAGCAACAATATTAAACAACCACAGGCATCCTTATCTCGCCTTGGTACACTCGTTGATGAAATGCACATGTCACATACTCGAAGCATTTAACGAGATTTTCCATGCATTAATGCAACACAGTCGCGCGTGTCTCGATTATAAGGTAAAACCCGCTTGAGCACGTCCCATACCATGCCTAGCAGTTTCTACCCCATAATCAAGCACTATGCATCACACGTATTCCAATTATTACGCCCCCTCGGGGCCACCACACATCAAGTGATACGCAGCAAGATGGCGGTCTACCGGTAAAAACCGGGCTCCGTCCCGCCCCATCGGGCACGGCTACGTCAAACGATACACAGGATGACGGCATTCCAATACGGCAACATCAAACGATACACAGTAAGATGGTATCCCGTAAGGAGCATCAAGTCCGGCCTCGGGCCGCGACAAGGCATCCGGGGTATCGGCACTCCAGATTATCCCCAGGCATCCGATAAATCGGGCAACGTCAAGCGATACACAGCAAGACGGCTTTAACGTGTGACCACACGAGCACACAAGCATACCGGCCAATTATTATCTTTTCAATTAGCCCATGCGTCCATGAATAGTGCTCACACAATGCCGCATAACAAACCAAGTGGTCACACATGCAAACAGTCATTCAATTCTTGCAAGCTTTGATGCTAAACATGTTTATCAATCACAGAGCATCACTACCAATTACTTGGCATGACAATAAAAATAATTTAATGCCAAAAACTCGTAAACTTTCTTAAAAACTTCCGATCAAAACAGTTTATCATAAATTGAATTTAATACGACAATTCACGGTATAAACGCCAACATTCAAGCTAGAAATCATAATTTGAAATTATAAATTTTCCGAAATAATAATAAATAAATTCGGAATTTAATTATTTAATAATATCCAAGAATAATTTAATTTTCCAAAATTCAAAATACTTTCCCGAATCGAAATCGTTCAAACCGTTTTCCAAATACGCCAACTTATACAGCGAAATCCAACATTAGCATCACAATTTGACGTTAGAAATTTTCCGAAAATAATAATATTTAATTTCGGAAATTAATTATTTAATAATAAAATATTAATATTTAATCCGAAAATAATAAAATAATAATTAATTCCGAAAATAATACTTTAATAAAATAATCGATAACTTATCACAACACCACGATAACTTCTCAATATATACGCGATAACCTATCGTGCAAACACCGATAATTTAACATCTAAACCCAATTAAACAAACCTAATATTAATCTAAACACAAATTAAGGTAGCGAATGATAACTATTCTGTTCCGGAACGAGTTCCTGAACCAGAAATAGATTTTTCTATTTCTGGTTCCTGGATGAGTTTCTGAGAAAAAAAACCCGTTTGATAATGACAAAAAATTTCTATTTCTAGAACCAGAAAACCCGTTTGATAACAAAGACAAAATTTCTATTTTCCGAAATAAAAACCCGTTTGATAAACAACAGAAAATTCTATTTCCAGGAACAAAAATCCATTTTTTTAGAAATGGAATAAAAATAATAAAAAAATCCGAAAAATTCATAAAAATCTTTAAAAAAATTTAGAAAATCCCAAAATATTGAAAAATTCCAGAAAAAATCATCAAAAAGTCGAGAAAATAAAAAAATTTAGATTTCGGGAAAATAGGAAATTTGTTGAATTTTTTCAAAAAAAATCAAGAAATCAAAAATTTCAAAACTTCACAGAATTGCTTAGAATACCTGTGGCCACCCACTTTTAGTGAAATTTAAATTTTTTTAGGTGCCCAAAAAAAATCAAAAAATCAAAAATTTCAAAACTTCACAGAATAGTTTAGAATACATGTGGCCACGCACTTTGAGTGAAATTTAAATTTTTTAAGGTGCCCAAAAAAATTCAAAAACTCAAAAGTTTCAAAACTTTACAAATGGCTTAGAATACCTGTGGCTACCCACTTTGAGTAAAATTTTAATTTTTGGAGGTGAAAAAAAAGCAAAAAATCAAAAATTTCAAAACTTCACAGAATGACTTAGAATACATGTGGCCATCCACTTTGAGTGAAATTTAAATTTTTTTAGGTGAAAAAAAACATAAAAAATCAAAAATTTCAAAACTTCACAGAATGACTTACAATACCTCTAGCCACCCACTTTGAGTAAATTTTAATTTTTTTTAGATGCCCAAATGGTATTTTTTATTTTTATTTTTATTTTTTTTGGTTCCTAAAGAAAATTAAATTTCACTCAAAGTGGATAGCCACATGTATTCTAAGCCACTCTGTGAAGTTTTGAAAATTTTTCTTTTTTGCTTATTTTTATTTTTTTTTTCGACACCTAAAAAAATTAAATTTCACTCAAAGTGGGTGGCCACAGTATTCTAAGCAATTATGTGAAGTTTTTTATTTTTTTTTTTTTCGCACCTAAAAAATTTAAATTTCGCTTAAAGTGGATGGTCACAGGTATTCTAAGCCATTTTGTGAAATTTTGAAATTTTTTCTTTTTTTCTTTTTTTTTATTTTTTTCGGCACCTAAAAAAATAAAATTTCGCTCAAAGTGGGCGGGCACAGGTATTTTAAGCCATTCTGTAAAGTTTTGAAATTTTTACTTTTTTGCTTATTTTTATTTTTTTTAGCATATAAAAAAATTTAAATTTCACTCAAAGTGGGTGGCCACAGGTATTTTAAGCTATTCTGTGAAGTTTTGAAATTTTTTATTTTTTTCGGCACCTAAAAAAATTTAAATTTTACTCAAAGTGGATGGCCACAAGTATTCTAAGCCATTCTAAGCCATTCTATGAAGTTTTGAAATTTTTGATTTTTTGCTTTTTTTTATTTTTTCGGCACCTAAAAAATTAAAATTTCGCTCAAATTGGGTGGCCACGGGTATTCTAAGATATTCTGTGAAGTTTTTAAATTTTAGAATTTTTTATTTTTTTGGCAACTAAAAAATTAAATTTTCTTTCGAGTGGGTGGCCATAGATTTTTAAGCCATTTTGTGAAATTTTGAAATTTTTTTATTTTTATTTATTTTTTCGGTACCTAAAAAATTTAAATTTCATTTGAAAGTGGCGTATGATTCTAAACCATTCTGTTAAGTTTTGAAATTTTTGATTTTTTGCTTTTTTTCTCACCTCAAAGATCGTGACTTCCATATGAATATGTGTGTTGAAGAAAATGAATTCCTCAGAAATGGTTTTCACTTTTGTTCCAGAAATGAAAAACCAACTTTTTTTTTGTTCTCATTTCTGGTTTCAGAATCAGTTTTGAAAGCAAACTTGTCCCGGAAATAGAAAAATGAAATTACGTTACCAAATGGGTTTCTGGTCCAAAACTGATTCTGGGAACAAAAAACCAGATCTGGACAGAACCAGAATGGTTTTCATGCGGTGCCTAAACTACCCTAAGTAAGTTTAACACCCTAAACACGGGATTAGGGGTTAACTTACTCGGCTAACGCCGGGGTTACCGCGAGGACGACGGCGGCGGCGAGGGCGGTCCACGGTGTCCTCGGATTGCTACGGCTCGGGCTCGGCAATCGGCGGACGGGCGACGAACGAGCGCGACGAAGGGAGCGGCTGCTGTGGGTGGCTGTCCGGCGCGGCTTGGAGGCTGAGTCAGGCAAAAATGGAGGTTGGCGG